GTATTTTAATTGTATAACTTTGTAAGTTTGTAAAATTTGTAATTCGTCACAAAATGATTGCACTCTTTTTTTCTTGCCAAGTTTTTATCCCAATTGGGTTTTTCTTGGTAAGGTTTTTAACGAGGCAATCATGAATTATGAATTTAATATACATCATTAATATACATGATTAATTTATTCAATTGTGTTAATAATGTCTGTTGAATGTTGATTTTGATTTTTATATAATTTTAACACAAACTAACTTAATAATCATAAAAATTAAAAAATATTAAAAAAAAATTCGGGCTATTCGGACGGGCTCGGGCTGCCCAGCCGGGCTCTGGCAGCCAAATATAAGCCTGCGGCCCCTTCAATGGCATTTTCGGGCTCGGGCAGGTCGGGCATCGGGCAAAAAATTACTATTTTCGGGCGGTCGCGGGCGGCCCGTTTAAAGTTCCAGTACTAATGATACATAAGTATTTAGAATGACATAAAGAATATGCCTTGCACAAAACCACGACAAATCATGTATTTTCTCTTTATTTATTATTGAACGACGTCTTTCTAATTTGGATTTAATCTATGTTTTGAAAGACGTCTTTCTAATTTGGATTTAATCTGCGTTTTGTTTCATTGCATAAATTCAAAGCGATTTTTTTTTTTTTTTTTGCATTCTTCAAATTTTCTTTATCACCTGTGTGCATGTTTCAAGTTTTTATTGGGTACTTCACGTACATTAGTTTGAAAGCACGTGAAATGCATGCACGAGTACACTAAGCGGTGTTAAATTTTTTAATAATATTTATGAAGTATAATTAAAAATTTGTTTTACTTTTTGATTTATTACTCTTCAGAGTTTAGTTTGGTGAAAAAATTATTTAAATATAGCAGATTTTAAATATAAATTAGGAAGCATAATGTCGGTATTCTTAAAAATTTAATCGGCTTACATATAGAGTAAGTACCGCTAAACAATCTATCATCCCTAAACTACCCATTCAAACTCGTTGATTATTCAATGCGTCGATCGTTGTACGAAAATACTTAAAAATTAATAAGATAATCAATGAAAGAGCTTTTTGAGTTTCCTTGATCTAAGATAATCAAATCTCATTCTTCCCTTACCCTCAAAAAAAAAAAAAAATCATCCTTCCTTGCCCTTAGTGGCGCCAAGAGCCTCCTTCTCATAAGTAGCAACAGATTAAACGAAGTTGTATTTTAGGTATTTGAATAATAAAATGGATAAAAATAGTATTTTGGCTAAACACAAAGGGAACTTTGCTTATTTTTTCATGAATAATATTAATTATTGAGGGTAGTTTTAGTATTTTAAAAATTTGACTGGCCAAACATTGAGTAAAAGGGTTATATTTAGACATTTTTCAAAAATAAGAGGGATAAATATGATATTTTAATGTAACAAGAGAATGTTTTAGACATTTTGTATATAAGAGATGCAAAAAATGGTACTCTGATTAAATATAACGGATGTTTTAAGTATTTTTAATAATACAGATTATTAAACATAAGTTTGATACTTTTAATAATTTGACCGGTCAAATATGGGATAAGGGGTTATTTTTAATCCATTTCAAAATACGAAGGGAAACCAATGAGGTTGTTCTTTTGAAGTATAACTTGAGTATAGTTTTTGAGTTAAATTTGAGTTGTAACTTGAGTTGAAGTTAGAACTTGAATAAAGTTGAGTAAAATTGAATAAAGTTGAAACTTAAAAGAACGTGAATTTAAATAAAGTTGAAACTTGAGTTGTCTTTTTTTAAATTTTTTGGACAAAAGAACATGCCCAAGGTATTTTGAAAGAACACGAGGATAGTTTTGGCATTTGTATAATAAGAATGATAAAAATAGTATTTTAATTAAACACATGAGATGTTTAAGTATTTTCATTATAAATAAATGATCATGCACTTTATTGCATAACTAGTTTAGTTACACGCGATACACATATGAATTGTAATTAAAATTTTAATAACAGAATATAAAAAAAAACAAAATATAGAAAAAAAGTTTATTCGGCCTAAACACGATCTTTTTAAAGATTTAAAAAAATATTATAAAATTCCAGCCAGGTTGGGACGGCCTGCGCCTTTCCATTTAGAATAGGCTGACCCGATTTGAAAATTCAATTAGGTCACCGATCCAGACTAGGCGGTTCGAACATTCACCTATAAATGTGGAGTACATTTTTTAACTCTTCTAATAGGGTAAGTTTTTTAGCATTCGGATTAAATTTTATTTATCTGTTGTATGAATATCTAAATTAATTAAAAGTACGTGTGTCGTACGCTATAAAAGTGCTCCCACTCATGCCTCAAGTCGTTGAAATGTAATCGGATGAATATTGACTGAAATAGTATGATATGAATCAAGAAAAGTGAGAACCTGAACTTCTTGACAAAGAGAATGAGCTGACATTTCAAAGCTAGCTAGCTTCTGCAACCAAAATTCCATCCAGGTCGGTCGGGACGGTTAAGCCTTTCGGCGTCTAAGGTCAGGTTGAGCTGTCCCTCTTTTATTTAGAACAGACTGACTCGATTTAAAATTTTATTTATGTCACCGATCCAGACCGGACGGTTCGAACATTCACCTATAAATGTGGAGTACATTTTTTAACTATTTTAAAATAATAATTGTTTAATGTGGAGTACATTTTTTAACTCTTCTAATAGGGTAAGTTTTTTAGCATTCGATTAAATTTTATTTACCTGTTGTATGAATATCTACATTAATTAAAAGAACGTGTGTCGTACGCTATAAAAGTGCTCCCACTCCTACCTCAAGTCGTTGAAATGTAATCGGATGAATATTGACTGAAATAGTATGATATGAATCAAGAAAAGTGAGAACCTGAAAGCCTGGACTTCTTGACAAAGAGGCCCAGGCACTGGGAAATTGGAAAAATTGCTTCCAACAGAATGAGCTGACATTTCAAAGCTAGCTAGCTTCTGCAACCAAAAATTTTCAAGCTTTGTGACGCATGGATATAAATTTCAACGTAGAGTTAAAAAACTTTTCAAACAAGAAGCATAGCAGAAGTACTAAAATTTCTATCTTATCAATTAGTCGTTTGAGTCCTGCCAGCCTTGAGAATAATCAGAACGTGTTTGTAGCTAAGCAGGCTCGTTTTTTCCTAGTATACGAGCTAAGTAATAGAGGTCTAATTAGTTAGGAAATGAAAAAATAAAAATAAAAAAAAATAATTGGCGCGTTTGGAACTCATTCTAAAATGATTTTATTTTTTGTATGTAAATGAAAATGAAAATATTTTTAATCTCAGACATAAATCATTTTTAAAAATGCATTTGGTAGTTTTATCAAGAGATTATTTTCAGTGTAAAAAAACCCATTAATGTCTCTCTTTCTCTCTCTCTTTGCTCGAGAGAAGAGAAAACGAAAATAAAAAATGAAAAACATTTCTCTCTCATTTTACACTAAACCAAAAAATCGTTTTATTTCCGTTTTTATTTTTATTGCGCCAAACGCCGTTTTGAAAACATTTTCATTTTTTTCTTGAAAAATGTGAAAAATAAAAACGGGATCAATTCTAAACACAACATATTTCTCTTGTGCTTTTTTTTTTCTTTTTGATAATTTATGTAATTTCTTGTTGCAATAGCATTCCACCAAAAATAAAATGTCTTAGCATTCAACACGCACTTAGAAATAAAATCATAAGCTAGAGTTAAAAATAATAACAAGGAGAGTCTCAATAGCTAAAGAACTGTTTTTGGTTTTACTTTGCTTTAAGGCAGAAAGTCTACTTTGAACATTAATCAGAATCTTATATGCAATATTAATAAAGAGGGAGAAAAAAGACAAATACCCTTAGAGTATATAGGTCTAGAATTATTAATTCTTTTTTAGTCAAATATGTATATTAGTAAAAAAGATATTAATCGATAGCTCGTTTAGTTCGTTGATTTAAGTTTTTAATTCGAGTTAAGATGTGATTTTATTTGAGAACTTTTTACTATAGCAAAAAAGTTAGATGTGACTGTTTCTAAGAGTTTTTGACTGTAGCAAAACTTGAGTTCTAAACTCGAATCGATAAAATGAACGGAAAGTATGAGGTAAAAATTTAAGCTTATACACTCTAAAAGTAAGTTTAATAATTTTCTTTAATAAAGACGCAAAAACTTGAAACAAATGTGGTTGCCATGATGCAAACTACTTTTCTTCCTTAACGACTTTACAACTAATAAAAAATGAACTTTATTTATAAAGCATATATGGTATTCATTTTCTCTTAGAATGTTGCGTTGGACCTCACTAGTAGTTTCTATAGCGTAGGCATTCTTTATTATGAATACCAAAAGTAACATATCTTTCAAGATCAAAAGGATTCTCAAATCTATATACGATGGATACATGAAAACGTAATTATTAAAAATTTAATTATTAAAAATTTATCTATTTTAATAATTATTTTAATATTTATCTATCGGTTAGTATTATTATTTTAATTATGTGATATTAGCTAAATAGTTGTACTAAATATTATAGTTGAGAAAAAAATATATATAACAGAACTTAAAAACTTATGTAATATATAATTAAATTTTTATATTTAACGGATAACTATGGGTGAAAACAGCATTATTAAAAGCTCATCTATGTGTAAAAAATATCGATGAAAAACGCGTTGAATTGAAAAGGTCCGACAGCAAAGAACACAGATCAGTGGTTAGCCTTGGGAATCACCCACTCAATACAATCCGATATCACCGAGGGGTGAACAAGTCCACAAGAATGACTCCTTCATATTGAACCATTAACGCATTATAATTTAAGAGTTTTCAACTCTCGTGCATGGAGCCGTGACATGCGCATGTCCTATATAATTAATATTTTTCTTTGGTATATATCCTGTATTATTAATTCACTTGGTAGAGAACAAGACAATTTAAAGCCTCGTCACATGACAAACAAAAAGTTCATTAGTTACACGGAAACAAATTGGATTATTGGACCCCCAACAAAGAGACCATATACAGATATTAAAGAATATGTATCAAATATTGTACTTCTAAACTGTAGAATACACGTATAATAAATTATCCAACCAAAAAATGAGAAACTATGAAAGAATTTTATCTTTGTTCTACTGCTAAACTGAAAGGAATTGAACTAGGAAGGAATAATAACGTCAATGATGAGTTCCTGAAATGTAACTGTGTCCTCCACCACCGGAGCTCGGACCCGAATCCTTGATCCCTCCAAGGGCATCAGTGTTGGTAAACTTGTGTCCTTGTCCTCCAGAGCTCGGACCTGAGTTTTTGATTCCTCCAAGGATCTTGGCATTAGTAAATTTATGTCCCTCACCAGGGTTTGGACCGTTCTTGATACCTCCAAGGGTGTTGGCATTAGTAAATTTGTGTCCTGTGCCGGGGCTTGGACCGTCCTTGATACCTCCGAGGGTCTTGGCATCAGTAAATTTGTGTCCCCCACCAGGGCTCGGGCCATCCTTGATACCTCCAAGGGTGTTGACATCAGTAAATTTGTGTCCCGTGCTGAGACTTGGACCGTTTTTGATACCTCCAAGGGTGTTGACATTAGTAAATTCGTGTCCTGCGCCGGGGCTTGGACCGTCCTTGATACCTCCGAGGGTCTTGGCATCAGTAAATTTGTGTCCCTCGCCAGGGCTCGGGCCATCCTTGATACCTCCAAGGGTGTTGGCATCAGTAAATTTGTGTCCCGTGCCGGGGCTTGGACCGTCCTTGATACCTCCATTAAGGGTGTTGACATTAGTAAATTCATGTCCTGCGCCGGGGCTTGAACCGTCCTTGATACCTCCGAGGGTCTTGGCATCAGTAAATTTGTGTCCCTCGCCAGGGCTCGGGCCGTCCTTGATACCTCCAAGTGTCTTAGCATTAGTAAATTCGTGTCCCGTGCCAGGACTTGGGCCGTCCTTAATACTTCCAAGGGTCTGGGCATTAGTAAATTTGTTGCCCTGACCGGGATTGGGACCCGAGTTTTTAATACTTCCAAGGGTCCGGCCATCAGTAAATTTGTGTCCCCCACCACCTGGGCTTGGCCCGGATTGCTTAATGGATTCCAGAGATAACCCATCAAAGAAACCCATCAATATTCCTTTGCGAGCATCATTTTCCCACTTCTTGGCGTTAAAGGGTCGAGCTTCTGTTGCGATAAAGTTGAACAGCAACGGAAGCAAGAAGAAGAAAGTAAAGAGTGTAGACATGTTTGGAGAGCAAGAAAATGGGAGGGAAAAGCAAAGAAGAGTCAGATCAGAAAATAAAGTTAACTTCAAATTTCTTGATCCTAGCTGAGAGCAAAGTGTATTTTGTATGGTTTTTATGATTTGAGCAAAGCAGAGATTCTGGAGTATTTATAATGGTGGGACTAGCTCTATGGGGAGTATGGTTTTTTTATTTTTGTATTTTTTTTTTGTTTGGGATGCAAGGAATTCTTACATTTCAAAACAAAACGTGAAAGAATTCCACATTTTCCAATCTTAATTTTCATATTCAAACCCAAATCGTGAGAGTACTGAGAGACTGCTGAGGAAACAACTAGGATGGTTCTCAAGAGTAGAAAACGGAAGGAAATTTGATTCATTAATCGAGTCCATGTAGACGGTACGTAGAGAGAAAAATATATTAACATATGTTATATTGGATTGAAAAAGAGGGAAAAAAAAGAAAGAAAGAAAAAAGGGCAATATTGAATATTCTTTTAGTCTATCGCCGTCGGGGAAAATTGTGGGCATTGATATTTCATTCTCTCTAAGCGCCGGTCTAAAGGGTCAGTTTAGGGTTACTGTACTTTTAATAGATATAGAAGTATTACTTTTACTTGAAACAAAAATAAAAGTAAAAGTCAAATTTAAAAATTACTCATTTTAATTTTTTTAAAATAATTTAAAAAGTGTATTAATTTATATACAAAACATTTTTATACATTTTTACCAAATATTATAATTACATCATTTAATTTGTAAAATATTTACAAGAGCTTCAAAAGTAATTCCAAACACATCCTTACGATGGCTGTGACCAAAGACCATGCGCACGTGTATGGGTTGAATTCCAAGAGATGGCAGCAGCGACGAACAGCATAAGTGTGACTTGTTTTCTTATGGGCCGGTTTCAATTTCATGACCAGTCAACAGCCCACCCCATCAGTTTGGGATGAATGAGACCACTTGGGAAAGTTCCATGTATAGGTGGCTACGTAATATTTCCCCTAATTAATGCTAATACTAAACACTTTATAGACGTTTGACAAGAGCAATTATATATGTAAAATTTTAAATTTTTCACACACTACTAATTGTTGGAGGGTATTTTTGGCATTATAAAAAAGATAATAAACGAAGGTTCGTTCATTTTATCGATTCGAGTTTTCAGTTCTATGTTTCGACAGTTAAAAGCTCTAAGAAAATATCACATCTAATTTTTTCTGTTACAGTTAAAAACTATCAAAAAATATCATATCTCAATTCAAATTAAAAATTCAAATCCGTAAAGTAAATGAGGCTGAAGTGTTATCCGAGCCCGTGTTTGGCCAATCTCCCAACCGCGTGCTCGGCTAATCATCTAAGCCCACCTCGATCCAAAGCACTTGAGCCTATTAGGCCAAGCCCAAGCCCATGGTCGACACTAAGGAAGGAAGCGCCAACGTCGCTTAGGGTTAAAGACGTCAAATACTTGGAGTTAAAAGACGTTAAATTGTTCTTTTTAGTTTTTACAACTCAAATCACAATTCAATATCATATTTTTCTTTGACAAGTAACTCCACCATTGCCGGATGAACTTCATCGACAAGAAAAAGAAGCAGCGAAACAGCGAAGGTCCAAAACACGAACTATATTGTCATATAGGAGTCAAAAACTAAAACCTAACTACTCAAAGAAAAAATTTATTGGAATCCAAGTCATACACCATTTGGCAACAAACGGGTGCTTATAAACCATATTCAGCTCACGAAGAACCCACGCAAAAACTTGCAAGACCTACACATATAATAATATCATCTCTACAAAAAGGCCAAAAAAATATATATATATATATATTGTTTGATGGTCCTTGTAGGCTTTATTCTCTACAAAAACAGGAGAAAATCATTGTCAGGTAATATCAATTATTTCTATCTGATTTTTTGTCCATCTACATCTAATATATGAAAAACCATATGTATGTAGAAATGTTGGAAAAACAATGGTGTTTAGTAAATAACAACTATTTTCAAATCAAATTTAATAATATGATGTGGCTTTTAAAGTAGTTGGATGTTAAATGATAGAAATACATTGATAAGAGATTCATACTTATACTTTAAAAAGAGCTCATAAAGATGTTGGAGAAATTTGTGGTAGCGCATAATAAAAATACTCCATCGTTGGACATAGTTTTAATTAATAATTATATTTTAATCAAGTTTCGTTAATTATCATATACTTATAATTAACATACTTGAATATTGTAATATTATTATGATGTTATTTGATTGTTCAGATCAATTGTGCTTCACTGATAGAGTTTTTTTCCCTACCTACCACACAATTTAAAATATATATATATATATATATATATATATTTCTAATGTAGCTTAACATACGTATGTTGAAAAGTCAGAATTTCCCTGAAAAAACAATCTTAAATAAATAAGTTAAGGTGAATTTAATGGCAAGCTAAGAGAAAAAAAAATCTGATAAAATACAAAAAAGATGAATTTAATGGCAAGTTAAGGTGAATTTAATTAGCTCCAATTATCGTTTATATGTAAGCGACCAACGCGCTGTTTAACAAAAATCACCCCACGGGTTTCGCGAAATATTTTTTCGAACGTGCTATACACGTGTTGTGTGAGAATCACCTGAGCAGTTTATTTTTTACGACATAATAAAATTTATTTATACAACCATTTAGTAGAACACGAGTGTGAGATTCGCGCGTTGCTGTGGAATGCATTATAACGCAATGATAGTTATAATGAAAATACATTAATATATATACATGTATTATATAGTATTGTATTATATGATAAATATAAAATTTGCACAAATATATTTATACAGACATATATAGTATTATTATTTATAATATTTATATATATACAGAATGTACAGGATAAAGAACAACGTTGTTGTGGTTTCTGAGCAGTTCATTTTTATTAGCTGCAAGTATTAAAAAAGGAAAAAAGAGCTGTAAATATAAGTGCTAATAGAAATAAAGGCGTTTAAAATATAAAGTATAAAATAAATATTATAAAAATATTTATAATACCTTGTTCTTGGGCGTTTTGTAGATTGTCTTGTTGTTCTTGAGTCAGGACTGGAAAAATGGAATAATTTGTAGTTATGTTTTTAAATAAATTGATAATATTTGTTGGGTTGAATGTGGTTTACCTTGTGCCAGGTTTTTTTGGTGTTGGAGTGTGTGGATCAAGTCTGGTTGGTGTTGATAGTTGTGATGATGGTATTGCCTGTGGGCTGAAAGATGAAAACATTTTTAAAATTGTGGTTAATATAATATAAATGTTATTTATGTATAGTCGATAAAATTTTTTTGAAAGCATTATTTACCTTTGTGGTTCTTCTGTTCCTGTAGTTAACTGTTTTGGTGACGATGGTGGAACATGAATGTCTTCAAATATTTTGGAAATTAAAGTACTCATCTGGGTGCCTCGTTGTTGAAAGAAGACTTGAAAGATTTTTGATTGTCCTCGGATCTAATCGATAGCTGGTGGTATTATAAATGGATCGGTAAAGCCTTCATCAATTGTTAATGCAGAACATGGTTTTTTTATTAATGCCTGAGCTGTTCTGCCAAAAGTGATAACTTCCATGTCTCCAGTATGATCTTCAATTTGGATTGTTAATCTGTACCTGTAATGTATACACATATATATATTTAATGTTATTATTTTTTTGTTAAAGTAAATAAAGATATATAATAAATAAAAATGATATGGTAATAAATTTAATTGCCATGGAGATGGTGTTGACTTTATATGGCCATGACTGTCGCACCACCAACCTATTCTTGCCTGTTTTAATTGTCGATAACATCTGGGGCAAGAATTATAGAACCATCCTTGAGATGTTAGAAAGTTTACTATGGTCGCTCTTACAATGAATTTTCCACCCTGCATAAAATATATAATATTGTGGTTTTAAATTGTTTAATAAATGTAGTAAAAAAATAATAAAAAAGTTAATAGTACTAACTAGATTATTTTGTGCATCCAATATTTTAAGTTCGTTTATTGTTATTCTGTTTGCTGATATTTGTTCTTCAATTGTTTGAATGGGCGTTTTTGGTGGTGGTAGGAATTCAATTTGTTGATTTTGGTCGAAAAATCTGTATATATGAAAATACGAATAGGTTAAGGAAGATATAAGTAAAATGTATGAATATTTAATATGATAAATTTATTAGAATATATTTTATATATATATGTGTTTACCTTGTCTTTAACGTTGTTGTTTCTGGGATGTCTGGATCAATATAGAAGATTGTTGCTGATGCACTCGAAACATATGAGTTATCTTGAAATATAATAGAGTAACTAATAAATGTATGCAATGTTTTTTTATATATGTATATAAAAATGTTATAATAAAGTAATGGTAAAAATACCTAGATACTGCTTTGTTAACATTGCTGAGAAAACGGCCACAACTGGTGCCTTCATTGTTTTGACCACATTTTCATCAAATTGATCCGCTTTATGTCCCCATAGGCTGACCGATAGTTGTTCATTTCTGTAAAAAAAATGTAGTTTATAAAAATGAGTAATAAAATTGAATGATAAAAGAGAAAAAATATTGTATTCATGTTAAATGGTTGTAATCAATAGTAAATGTGAGGGGAAAAAGTTTAAAATTATTGTACCTGATGTTTTGTATTGTTATGGATCGCCATGTTGTTGGTCTAGTGGTGACATGTGTATGTTCAAGTGCCTGGACACTTGTTACTACTCCAATAACATCTAATATTATATATGAACAGGGAAATTTTGTAAATAAATATTAAAGGAATATTTATAATAATAATAAAATAAGTTAAGTAAAATATATTACCTGTTAATATCTCAGTATTATTTATTCTTTGATATAGCTGGTCAAATTCTATGAAATAAAATTTGTGAAATGGGATGTGTGGTGCTTGGAGTAAAGGATGTTGCTCGTGCAAATTGGATCATAGCACTGTGTGGAACAACTTTGTATACTGGTTTATTTTCAGTAACATAGAAGTTACTAATATTGTATATATTGTCTTGTTTAATTTTTTGGGAAATATAGTCCGAATCTCGTGCTCGAATTGTTCCTTGTATT